CCCCGACTGCCTAGCTTGGAATTTGAGAAGAAAGACGCCTTCGGCTCATCTGAGCCGTTCTTGTTTTTGATCCTTGTTGCTCAGCGTCAAACCCCGTGCTAACTCAGAGAGCTCTGCGCCCCGCGGGCTTGAAGGGACTGGAGAAAAGTGAAGGACGGTGTAGCCATTTTCTGAACTTGGTATGAGTTCGTGCTTGGCTAAAATTAAGATGTTATCTGGGTACACATTAGCCGTATGCACACAGGAGTGTTAGACAACCGTAGGGATATTTCAAGGGCCATGGAATGAAGAGAGACCTCTCCTGGTGCAAACCCAAGACACTTTGCTTCAGGTCTCAGTCTGGGGAAGGCTTATTCTGAGAGTCCCCTGTCCCCAGTCCGATAAGGCCCCAGAGCTTGTCCCTGGTGGCTGTAACTGAGGGAACCTATGGTCCTGGCGGGAGGTTGAATAAAGCGGTCATCTTATCCCTTGCCAGAGGTTTCCAATTCCAATGTGGGGGGGGGGGCGACCAGGAGGCCGATCCCCAGCACTTCCTGGGGTATCATGGGGCCAGAGGCCGGCTCTGGCGGCCGAGGGCTGAAGGTCATTTGTCCCAGGTCTCTGAAGCAGGGGAGTGTGGTGGTGGTGGTAGTGAGCAGGAATGTTCCAGAGTCTCTATCAGCCAGAGGCTGAGATGAAACACAGCTACCAGGTCACCACAGGTGAGGAATGTCCCTTTTGGCCTAGACTTGATCCAGGAGCTCAGAATCTACCGGCTGATGAAGTTGCCCGGACTCAGGAGAGAGTGAGAGGAACGTTTCAGCAGAGCGGCTCACCTGGAAGCTTCCACAGCCGCGCTGCTGAGTTCAGTCCTTACTTGCTGCTCCCTAGCGGTGTGGCCTTGGTTGGGTGACGTCACTGTGCACAAGTTTCCTCATCTGTGAAAAGGGCCCTACCTCACGGAGCTGTTGACAGAGTGAGACAGTGGACGTTCAAGTGCTTAGCCTGATGATTTAGCCTCGGCGATTCTAGATCGGCAAGCCCAGGGTGAGGTGGGGGGCGGTCTGGTTGGTTCCTTGGGCCCTCCGGGTAGCCGGGCCCTGGTTTCCTCGCAATGTTGTCAGAAGCACCAGGAGGCTGGTCCCTCTTTGCACGCACGACGCAAACCTCTAGTTGTATCCCGACTCCCAACAGCTCATGCCAAAGTCAAGGGGTGGGGACATGTACTCCGTCTCTGGTGAGAAAATCTGCAAAGTCACACGTCCAAGGGGTGCGGGTGGGATCATTCTAATGCAGGGAGGGGAGAAGGATTGGGCGACAATGATCCATCTATCGCTGTATCCGACAGCCTGTAAACCATCCCTCGAAACCATATGAAATCGACCAAAACCAGTGTCCAAAGTCCCTACGTCAGCAGTTACAAAATGTGCCTGCGCGCGTGCGCGTGTGGTGGGGAGCCAGCGGGGCAGGTGGGGGGCTCGCTATACCTCCCCACCCCCCACGAACCCCTGCCCTAACCTAAGTACCTTGTAACTTGCTGCTCTGGACTCAATAAATATTTGTTGACTGACTGATAAATACCGGCTGACATTCACAGGGACAAAGCGAATCCCGGTGGGGTTTGGACTGCATGTCAATGAATCCGAAGATGACCTCCTGGCTGTGAGTAATGGCGAGGCCCCACCTCCAGGTTCTATCTCAGGAAGAGTTTCTGGCGTTCCTTCTTCTCCTCCCTGCCCCCCAAGCCAACAGCCTCATAGTGGCCCATCCTGTGTCTCTCCTCCGGGAGGTACGGTTTTTCTCTGGATTCCCCCCACCCGGGTAGGACGTCTGGGTCTGGCACGATGCGCCCTCCCACCATCACCTCCTGAGCTGTCTGCACCGCCCAAGCGTTTCTGGGCTTCGCCGCGTCGGGCAGCCACCGGGTGGATGTGTTTTCAGACGCGGTTATCTATGTCGAGACCCCCGGCCGCCGTGGGTGATGGCAGGATGTGTGCAAGGCACGGTCCGCGCCGGGAGGATTGGGGATAAGACACACGTGTCCGCCAGATGCCGGGGCCGCGAAACCAGGGGGGTGCGCGGGTGGGACGGATGGGGGGTGCGCTCTGCGTGGGGGAAGCAGTTGCCTCTCTGTAATCATTTAGGGCCCGGGGAGTCCGGTCAAATGCTGGTGAAGGGCTGCTAAGAGCAGAGCCGGGGGCCTTCTGCCTCTGCCTCCCAAGGAGGAGAGCCAAGACGGGGAACCAGCGGGAGCCAGGACGGCCGGTCTGCACATCAAAGGAAGGCTGCAAGCTTTAAGTCCTGGGGGTAGAGTTTTGCTGGCGAGGGATCCCACTTGTTTTTATTCTTATTTTAAAATAATTATTATTTCTTCCCAGCGATCAAAGTAAATCATGCCCTATTGTGGAAAATTTAGGACCGACAGAAAAGGGTAACAAAGACAGTAAAAACTACCTTTAATTCCCTAGGCAGACATTAGCTCGTGTGTGGAGAGGAATCTTGCTCTCTGGGTTCAAGTCGGTGCCCTTTAACACGAGCTGTGGCACTTTAGAGAAGTTATTTTACTCCTCTGTGCCTCCGCTTTCCCGTCTTTAAAATGGGGAGGTGAGGGGCGCCTGGTTGGCTCAGTCGGGGGAGCGTGCGACTCTTTCAATTTATTTATTTTTAATGTTTTTTTAAATCTATTTTCGAGACAGAGGGAGACAGAGCATGAGCAGGGGAGGGGCAGAGAGAGAGAGAGGGAGACGCAGAATCCGAAGCCGGCTCCAGGCTCCGAGCTGTCAGCACAGAGCCCCACGCGGGGCTCGAACTCACAGACTGTGAGATCATGACGTGAGCCCAAGTCGGACGCTCAACCGATGGAGCCACCCAGGCGCCCCTGGGGGAGTGTGCGACTCTTGATCTCAGGTTGTGAGTTCGAGCCCCACGTTGGGTGTAACGATTACTTAAAGAGAAAATCTTAAAGAAAATAATAAAATGGGGATATGAATAGTACTTCTGTATAGGGATGTTGCCACGGTGGAATAAGCTGATTCTTGTTAAGTGCTGGCATATAGTAAGTGCTTAATAAATGCTAAGCTCTTATCAGCAGATTTCCACGTATCACAGTTAGATCAAGCCCTTTAAAATTTTTATACGCCGTTTGCTTTCTCATCTCAAGTTTATTATAAGCGTTTTCCTCCACGATTAAAAACTCTTACGGAGCGTCATTTTGGGTGGCTTCGGAATTTGCGCCCCATGGAATTCATCATAAATCAAATTCGTCATGATTTCTTTAGCGATTTGCTCGTGGCTGGACACTGAGGCTATTCTCATGGTTTTGTTAATATAAATAATACTGCGATGAACATCTTTGTCAGGGGCTCCTTGAATTTGTTCACAACATTTTTATCTTGCTATGAAAGTGTAATGTACTTGTTCTAGAAAAACACACACACACACACACACACACACACACACACACACACACACCAGGAAGGAGGTGTTCTGGGCCAGCCTGCAGTCTGTCTTAGAGACTCCACCCAGCGCCTGGCAGCATAAACACGGCCAGAGTTAAATAACAACCCCCGACAATATGCAGGACGTCACAGGGCTTTAAGTGATTAATTGCCAACTAAGCACTACGAGTTTCCTAACCAGCAGTGTTTGCTCCAAGTGACCAGCTGGGACGTGGAGAGTCTTTAGGGTTTTTAAAGAACGCTTTGTTCTGCTGTGTGACAGGTTTTCCGGAGTCTTTACCAGCCAGGAAGCTTCCTTTCCTAAGGGCCTTTCGGATGAGGGGAGCTCTAAATATCCTCGGTCGGGAGGTCCCTCTCCCTCACCCTGTCCTCTGGCCCCAGTCAATCTGGAGGCTGACTTAGAGGTTAGAGCCTGCTCTGGTCTCAGCCCACCGCCCACATCTCCTCTGCAAGCCGTGTATACCCCATGCCGCTCAGATGACTCCCGCCCCACTGAAGGAGGGAGGGTCTTGGGCAGGCCTGAAAGGGATGTGCCCAACCCAGAGCGAGTTCAGAGAAGGAGGGACCGCTCTGAAGAGAGAACCTGGGGCCCGTCAGGAGCTTCCGAAAGCGCGTGGGCTATGCAGGCGGAAGGAGTTGAGGTACAAGGGCTGTGGCTGTTTCTTGCCATCCCTGTGTGTGTGTGTGATGCTCCTCCCATCAAGAAGAGGAAAGGGGCGCCTGGGTGGCTCGGGGTCGGGGGGGTTGAGTGTGGGACTGTTGATTTCAGCTCAGCTCATGATCTCACGGTTCATGGGTTTGAGCCCCGCCTCGGGCTCTCTGCTGTCAGCACAGAGCCCGCTTCGGATCCTCTGTCTCCCTCTCTCTCTGCCCCTCCCCAGCTTGCTCTCTCTCTCTCAGAAATACATAAATATTTAAAAGAAGAAGAAGAAGAAGAAGAAGAAGAAGGAGAAGAAAGAGCTAGTCTATTTCCCCTCCCCTTGAACCTGGCCTTGTGACTTGCTTGGGCCAACAAGAATGCAGTAGAAATGTTGCCGGGGGCCTTAAGAGGTCTGATGGTGTCTGCTTTCGGTCCCTTGAAGAGAATGCCAGCTGAGAAGCCCCAGCTATCCTGCTGGGGAGGGACCGAGCGGAGGAGAACACTTCAGCCAACAGCACCGGCTGCCAAAGATGTGAATGAGGCCAGGGGGGGTGGCCCACACCCAGCCAGACTCCCGACCCAGTGCAGTCACAGGAGTGACCCCAGCTGATGCCACGGGCGACGGACGAACCACCCGCCGAGCCAAGCCGGCCCATCAGTCGTGCGAAGAAGTCAACGGCCGTTTTAAGCCATGACGTTCGGGGGTGCTTCTCAGGCCGCAGTAGATAACCCAAACCACCGCTGTTTCAAATACAGTTTGCGAGCGTAATTCGTTCTAGAAACATGCTTGTAATGCAAAGCCCTCGTATGTCAAAGCGGATTTCCGGCACGCTTGGCTCCGTTGTGATCACGTGACATGCGGCGGCTCGGTCGACTTGTGTTGCAAGACATCGCTCGTTTATCAAGTTAAAATTTATTAGAAAAGCCGGCCTGTCTTGTGGAACACCCGCAGAACAAGTTACTCGCAGTCCAAGGTTTGCCTGGATTTGAAAGGCTGTTTCGGGAAGAGGAGTGAGATGGGCTCTCGCAGACCCCAGGGCTCAGTAGAGGCCGGGACCCTGAGACACTGACAGCCATCTAGTAAGGGGACCGCGTGTGACCTCGCTGCGCTCCCTGCAAAACACCAAGGAAAGGCTGAGGCTGCCTGCCTGTCAGTGTCTGGAAGGGGACTCGGGGGACCAGGCGGCTGGCACACTGTCCCGCCTGGAGCTCCTTTGATCCTTTGCTTCTCTCCGGGTTCATTCTACCCGCTCCCCACAGAAGGCGCTCTGATGCCCTGCCACAGGCCCCTGCTGGAAGACAAGCCCAGCCTCCTTCCTGCCCCGTCACTGTGGGCTTTTGTCGGCCTAGGCATTTTCTAAGTTGATAGGCCACGTCTTTCAGAAGGCTTGTCGCGTGACCTTGCTCCTTTGGAGCACATGCCCCCCACCGTCGTCCACGGCGCCCGGATTTCAAGCTCTCTAAAGAGACAGACCCTGTTTTATTTATTTCGCTAGCCACCTAGAGGCTGGATCTTCCCTCCCTTGGCCCTACCCGGGTAGGGTCTGCAGTTCCGAAGGGGACTGGCCGGGAGCAAGTCCCAGAGGGCGAGGACAGGCCGACCCCAGGGGGCGATCTCCTGAGCTCAGCGGCCAGGGACTGGTTTGCCCCATCTGTCCTCCACGGCCGTGGCTGCCGTGGGTGTTCGGGAGGGCCTCTGTCAAGCTTGCATGCGGAGCTCGGAGAATCTTCCTCAGAGAAGCAGGATGTGTATACACACACACACACACACACACACACACTCAGCACTCAAGCACGGAGACCGCCTCAGGGGAGACACCGTCTGCAGGAACCAGACTCCACAGCCTCCCCAGGGACTCGTCACCGCGTCTCTCGTCAAAATGTCACTTGTCAGGCGCGGTTCTAGCTCAGAGGAACTCACCCCCTCGCTCACGCTGAAGGAAGGGCCTCTGAGGGGAGCGGGCTCCGCGGAGTTTCCAGGCGGAGGCTGCCTGTCTTGTCCTTGGCAATTTCTTGGACTGGCCCCAGGAACCCTAATGAGCCTCCAGCATGAGGAACAGCCGCCGCGGTGGTTATCAGAGGGACCATACAGGGCTTCGGGAACCAGCCCGTCTTCCGCCGCGCGTGGGGCATCCTTCGGGCTACCTCTCCCCAATTCCTGGAGAGGAACAGGTTTGAGCAGCACTTGCTCTCCCCTCTCTGTACAAAGAAAAGGAAGAGAAAAAAAAGGGGGCATCTCGGATCAGTGGGGGCAGAGGCCCGGAGGGGATGGGAGTGGGGGAAAGTGATCTGAGGGTAGGCAGGCGGGGAATGGCCTCTGCCTCCGGGGCCCCAGGCCTGCTCCAAGGGGTCTCTCGATAGAAGGAGGGGGGCCCTAGAGCCACTTGTGGTTCGGGAGCCTCTCATCTGATGCCATGGGGGTCTTGTCTTCTGTGAGCAGTTCTCCCGCGCTGGGCTGGTCTTGCAGCCCCCCCACCCCCACCCCCCACCCCAGCCCAGGGCAGCCAAGCCTGTGGCAAGCCTTCACAGCTGCTCTCCCTGGACACCTGCAGGAGAAAGTTCCAGATCTGCACTCACACAGGCTCCTCAATGAACAATGTGGCCAGCGTCCGCTTTGTCCGCCTGAGTTCTAGAGAGCCCCCGGAGAGAGCAAGCACATGAAGGAACGCTGGGCCAGCCCATCCAGCGACACCCTGGGCTGCGATCTGGCACCTAGCGCCGCCTCCTGTCCTAGGACCTCGGCTCAGCTGATGGGCCCCGGGGGCGGCCGAGGCTCCCAACCCGCCCCTTCCTGCTGATTCTTCTGCTCCCCAGCCTGGCCCTCTGTACTTAGGCCTCCCTGGACAGAAACGGGGAGCTGTTGCTCATTCAGCGGGGGAGCGGAGTTAGCGCGGTTTGTGATTCTCTGCCCTGCCTCTGCCTTCAGTGACCAGTCGGTAGCTTCGAATCGGCTGTGGTAGAAGGATAGCCTCTACCGAAATTGGCAAATGTTAGAAATTGAGCCTCC